TTCCAATTTTGCCCCCCCCCCCCCCATCATTAAACTAGGATTTGCTATCAACAACAGGTGTTTATGCCCGTGTTGGTGGTGGTGCATATTTCAAGCTGGTATTGGAGATAAGAATATGCAATATTAAATACGCCAATATTAACAGAGCATTATGAGTAACTAATTTATAATGAATAATGGGACATGCTAACAGTTCACTAGAATATATTCAACTTACTATATCTTCTAAATAATACTTTACTCACTGCAAACGCACATTTTTTTTTTGTAGGGTGGATTATTAATTTATTTGTTCATACCAGAAACACTAAATTTTTAAATTAGCAAATTCAATGTACAACCTTGAACTTAAACCCAAGTATATTCACAGTAGTGTTCGGTACACGTTATCAGTCTGATTGGAAAATACAGACTAAACAGCATTGTCAACATTTGATAAGCCATAAAACCTAGAGGTAGCTGAATTTATGAACCATTTTGTGTCAGCCGAGTATGCCCTCCAAGTACCAGTTAAACATGCTCATCAAAGTATATTGCCTTGAGCAGGGAGACTATAGCAAACAACAATACATAGATGTAAGTGTATAGAAGATGTATAAAAGGTACTTACACTGCATCAGGATCAGTAAACGCCAATCTTGCCAAGTACAAAGTAGCACCTACAACACCCAAGCCTACACAGCCCAGCAGTGGAATCAGCTAATAAATACAAACATAGCAATGAAAATTTGTGTGTACAACAATATTTATATCACCAGAACTTCAGCTAAAGCTATCTGAACAGATTCAATTTTGTCACATTTCTACACATTAATAAAGCATATATTTATGATTCTGTTGGATCACTAAGCACAGTACAGTACATGCCCACTGCCCTGCAAAAATCAACAATTCTTGTATACACATAAATCATTAATCCTTGATAACAAACAGACCCAACTCTTGCATACTGAAATGAAGCATTTCAGCTATGTTTCTGGATCTATACACTGATTAGAATTTGGAAGCCAAAATAAACATTTAGAAATTTATACACACATCAATACTAATAAGTACATTAAGATAATTGTTGAATGAAAATAAATCCAACAAGATAAATTATTTATGGTAAAATATATATAATGTAAACTTGCATGGTGGGTGGGTCTGAGCAAAAGATGGTGTGAATCATGAAATGGATATCATCACTATGAATAAGTTTCTATTACAAATCTTTAATAACCAGCAACCTGCAACCACACCTGCAGCCCGTGTTTTGATGCTGCCACGTGGGTGCATTTGTGTGGGCTTGCATTTGACCACAGCCTAATAGACTAGCAACACCACGCCTATTGTTTAATGTGATAATCTGGCTTATCAGAGGTCCTATTACTGGGTTTGTACAGCAGCATTTTATTTGGACAAAACTTTTGCTCCTCCCACCAATTAATAGGACATTATCTGATAAGTTAATTTGGTTATGGCTAAACATGATCTGAATTTTGGCAATATTAGTTTCGCAAATCACCATACCATAATAAAAACAAGCAACTTATTTTTGCAACAGATGAAAACGATTCAGGAATCTTTCGAGGTTTGCAAGAATTTCATTGACTTAGAATCCTGTCCCTGCTTGTACTTTGCGTATATGAATATATAATTAGTTAAATATTTATCCTGATTTTGACTTATGTTGCACATTTTGGAACTTCGGACGGCGGACGGGTATTTGTCTTTACTTGGACAGTTCATTTGTGTGGTACTTTCCTCATTTCTTTGGTCGTTGGATTATTATTATTTTGTTTATTTGTAAGTTGGTTTAATCACACAAACGAACGTGGCACGCATATATGAAAAGAACACCGCGCAGCAAGTCAGTATATTATTAGTTGGTAATTTGACCTTTACTTGACCTTACCCCAATATACACACATAGAAAAAGTGCAAGCATTTTGAACCAGGGAAACTGTACGTGTAATCCCAAACAGACAAGTAAAATGCTAAATGCATAAATGCTTCCATCAAATTCCCATGGTTAGAACGAAATGTGCATGCAAGTCGCACTTGTTCTGTCAGCACACACACGTCACGAACTTTTGTTTCAGCGCATAAATAAATTACTGACTACAGTAGGTTGCACACTAAATAAATACTTACGGCAGTGTGTCGCCTGAGTGATTTTATGCTTAAGCCAATCATACTGACCAAATTGCGAAGAGAAAAAGTGTACTTTTCTTTAACTACACAAGTTAGAAGAGACAACTGGCAACGCAATCCCAATATGGCGGATTGTTGCAGAGATGACTCCCTAGCTTAGAAGCAGGGTCAGTTTTCTTTTTTACCGTGGGTGGCGCAATTTCGATGGAATTACTTTCACTTGCAACGCGGTTACTCGTAACCGTGCTTGCAGTGACTTTGAACTTTGTAAACTTTTCGATGTTAATGTTTTCTTCGCAGATTTATTTTGAAAATTTGTTTGGTAAAACTTGTTTTAGTGGAAAATTTAATATTGGCAGTGCCCACTCGTGGTCCACTCGCAAGCCCCGAGAAGTAAACCCCTTGACAACTTTTATACACAAACTAGGTATACCATATTCTAATCTGCATATTTATTAAGCGCACAAACACCACCCGATGACATTTACTAATACTATTAAGGTATTTTAGTTTCTCCGTATGGTAAAAAACTATGTCATTGAACTACATACACCAAGGCTCAGATCGAAGAACCATTTTCTCGTTCACAAACTTCTCGTCAACTTCATAATGTTGTACAATATATCTTTGAAATCATGTAAATCACATGTCTTTGTAAGGTAATCCATGTATGTTTTGGATTATCATGTTATTAAAATGATTGCACAAAACTCATTTAAATCGTCGACAGTATTTTCTACATGAGGGCAGGATATTCCATTTTTTTCATTATCGTATTATTAAGTCTAAAAGAAATCCAACTCAAACCACATTTGCTTTTGCTAATAACTATCTAAAACTATCTAGAGCTATCTGATAATTCTGTCTCTTAAAAAAACTAAAGTGGGACACTAATACAATACAATACAATACAATACAATACAATACAATACAATGTCCTGGGTACGACGTTAAAATTGCATCCGGTTGCGGAGTTTTTGTACTCGGGAGAATGAGGTTACCCTTTGCCGCAACTACCTCCAGGTCACCCTTGGGCAAGGTGTAGCACCTGTGAGCCTTGGGTGCCAACTTCCCACATAACAAGTTCGGTTGACGTCAGTAAGGGCATACGGTCGTAAAACTCCTGCACAAATAGATCCGCACAGGTGGACAATTTTTCATGTAAATATGTAGATATTAGTTTCAGTTGTACTTAGCATTTGGCAGGGGGGATCGTAACCTCTTGTGATGAGAACCAGTGTGACTGGCCTGCCAACGGGGTGCTAAGGATTTCATTGGAAAAGTTATCAGTTACATCCGTTAATGTAATTTCGTTTTACATACCCGTAAATCAAAAATCACAATACAATACAATACAATACAATACAATACAATACAATACAATACAATACAATACAATACAGATTGATGTCAGACAAAATGAAAAATTCATATTATTTGAAAAACAAGCCATGCATGGTACAGTCCCCATTAGTTATCAAATTTAAGATATATAGTTTTGTTTATAGTAATATAGCTAGAATATAAACATGTCAGGAATATGATTTTTTTAACATTAAAATGATTGACATTTGTATCTGATCGTCAAACAAGTACTTGTCCATATTGAGAGATACTGCTCTGGAACAGCATTCAAAATCATCCATTTTGAATACATATATATATATATATATGATGTATAACGAATATATAAAATTTGAGTATAATCAGTCAAAGCATTTAAAAAGATATGGCTCTCGAAGCACAATCATTAAAACAAAATGGCCGCCAGACAGCTATTTTGAATCCAATCTGAAAAATGAAATGACGTGCATCAGGAACCTGCAATGCCTTATGTATGTTATACGTTTGAACAAAGTCCATCCATAAATGCAAGAAATGCTTTCCTAAGATACAGGTCCGGACGTACGCACAGACGCACGCACGGACACACGAGGTCAAAACATAAGTCCCCGTTTTCGGACTGCGTCCGAACGGGGACTAATAAGCTTTCTAAACATAAGCTTTCTAAATATATATACTACATATATAACTCCTATACCGATCTAAAATCAATTAGATAATTATCCGAGAATTCTGACCCAAGAAAACCAAAAACGAGGCTCAAACCACTGTCTAATATCGATCTAATACTTCCGAATCGATAATTATGAATATATTGAATTCTGTGTTTTATAATGGAATTTTTGGCAAATATTGTTAAGTGTATTGTGAGTTTTGTTAGTGAGTGTATGTTTTTGTTTTGTAACCATTTTAATTCCTTCCGAGTAGTTTTAAGCGTTGGTAAATTGGTATGCGAGAATTCTAGCCAATAAAGAAAATCAAAGACGGAGCCCAATGCCACGATATGGCACCGATCTAAAACTTCGATAATATCTGATAATGAATTCGAAAACAAATTTCTCTTCTTGTTTGTCCTGAAAACGTTGGGGGGTCATGATGTCTACCTGCCGTCCCATGTGTTTGCAACATGTTTTTTAAAATAAAAGACTGAACTGAAATAAGGAATGCAGAAGGCACTTTGGCGTATCGCGATAAATACGACTTTTATCAAACATCGGGATATGAGCGGCCATTTTATCAAATGCAGAGGCCGGTCGTATTCCGATGTTTTGATAAAAGGCGCATTTATCTTTATGCCACAGGCGACTGTGGTATGATTCCATCACGGTAATTCCTTACATTGAACTACATTTTGGCCCAATTTCTTATAAACACGCTGGATACATGTTTGATACATACATTTTTCACCTCGGCACGATTTTTGTTTTCAAGGTTTATAACATATAGAAAACATTCATTCTGGAATTGACTAGAAAAAGTTCTTGGTAATGCCAATTTTAGACACAGTGTCTCCATCTGTTTATGTGGAACATAGATCCCATCCAATGTTTGGTTTTCTATTTTTTGATGGTAGATTTATATAGTTATGCCTGGTACATTGAAAACATTGATTGTTGCTATAGTTTCTATGCCTTTCCGATGTTTACATGTACGGCCAAAAATCAGTAGAGTGTGTTCCTATCACACTACATATTAGAAGCATATATTCAGAGTTTGCAAACTAGGAATACATAATTGTACATTATTTGAGCAGTGATACCCTTTATTCACACCAATGATTTCCAGATCGACCAACTGTATGAGGCATAGTCACTCTGCTGAATAAACTAAGTATGATACGTACATGAATCTACCAGTCATTGACCCTTTCTCATATACAAAAGAAGTTACATGACACAAATATGCCGTGACAAAACACAACCTCTGATTGGACCGAAGAAAAAAAACACTCCAAACTTCGCAGTACTTCGTTCAAAGTACAGTTGTACTATAATTAAAGGCCTGTTTGGGGTATCTGTAGTAGATCAACCTCAAACATGCCTTTAACTAATATTATCGTCCTCATAGCCATCTTTCAACAGTCAATAAATTTAGTGTTCAGTTCTCACAATGGACAACACTTCTTATGGTAATAACAAATAAAACGTGTAACTAGAAGTTCATACTTTAGGATTTATTAATAATTCCGCATTCAAGTCATATGTAAACAATTGGAAAATGACAAATTTATTTTAATTTTGTGCATATTCACAAAAAATTAAATCTCATTACAGCTACAAGTGGAAACCCTAACCAATTTTACTGAACCTAGAGAACATCTTTCAAACTGTAATACACAAATAGCAATCATACTGTAAAGATGTATGGTAGTAAGCAAATCAAAACTTGTGATCAAATTTTTCAACCCAGATAAGGAGGTAGCCAGACATTGAAATTTTCCTTTTATCGAGTTGTGCTCTGAAACTGTCGCCATTAATACAACCATATGATTGTGTATGGATGAATGAAAGGTTCTTCGAGGAAAACAGAGCCGTCTTAAATTTTTGAATATGTATTATATACTATTATCAGATCAATGCTATTTAGAAGCTATTCATGGCTACTATTGTACAATTGGTATTTCAAGTAATGATAATAAAAACAAATTTATAAATTTACTTTGAACAAAACCACAGATCATCTCAGTTTTATTCAGAAAGGGCTCTTATGTGCAACCACAGTAAAGAATAACATGAAAGTGAAAATCCAAGAGGATAAGATTTCCATCATGAGTAGTGAAGGTTGTGTATTAACGGGTAGTACTACCAAACCATGGTTTCAACTATCATGCATTCTGAGACAAAGAACTGTTTTATTAGGAACCCTTAAACAGTTTTGAATTTAAGAATGCAACTTCTGCACTGTTATATCATAAATCCAATATTGCTGTACATATAGAAACATGCAGATATCACAAGAGCACATGTAAGTATATTCTTCTATTTATATCTAGAAATAATGCATCCACAATAACTTACCAGGCATACAACCATCCACTGCTGACACATAGTTTACACAGTATTAGAAAACTTTACAATAACATGGACACAATAATGTTCACAAGGTGAAAAGTTCATATACTGTGTTGATCACATACTGGGTACATAATAGGAAATGTGAATGTAGCTTTTCACTATAATTGTTAGTTAAAAATAATAATCAACCCAGGAGGACAGTTCTGTCAACAAGCTTCCAAAAACAGTTACCCTGTCCCCATGCAATCACAACTTTATTCAGTTATCACTGGCTTAGTAATGTACTTTTTGATATATACTGGCATACATTGATATTGTACAACATCACACACACTGCATTGATAACATAAATGCAAATGAGAAAAATATGTACACTGATATATATATATATATATGTATATTCAAAATTGAAAATTTCTATTTCAACACTCACAAACTGCAATGAATGAAATACCAGCATGATCGGTCGCTTGTTTTTATCCAGCAATGGAAAGGAACTGATACCACTGGTAGATACTATGATTTCTAGAATACAGGTTAAACTAAATCTTTTCCCTGTGTATAATCTACATATTAACAATGGTAAAATCTATTACCTATTCAAACCCAAAATCTTATATACACATTTATTAAGAACCACCAATTGAAATAAATAACAGCTTGAAAAGAATACATTTATGTAAACAAATCAGGTTTGTACATTTTCATCTGGAAAAATTAAACCAAGCCCAGACAATAATAGTTAGAATTAATTGACAGGCATTCTTTTGATGCTATTGAAAAGAAAGGTTTAAAAAATAGTTTTGTCAAAATACCAGTGATCAAATAATGCTTTTAACTGTTATTGTTTCTTTATATTAGAGCAATGAAGCATCCTGTAGTACTTTTTTCTAATTTGTTGAGCATCAGAAGAAAAAATGGAGGTGTAGAACATTACTTATATAAGTTTATACTGTTGAAACAGAAAAATAGTGAAAAATGCTGTTCTCATGGTACAGTATTATGTCAGAACTAAGCAAGTGTCTTCATGTCAAAAGAATGGTATCTCCAGGAATTTAATAGCGTTGCTTTAATATATTTTTTGTCTTTAAATTTATCTTTTAATGGTTGTGTACTATTGGTGATTTCTTTCTACCGAAGATCTGGATCTCCACTAATACCTTTCTTAATTCTGAGTAGAATAGTCGTCAACCACTGATCCAAACGAGATATGGAGTCATAGTCTTTCACCTGTAAAACAGCGGTAGTTAGTTATTTGCAACACAGTATAACAACATACATAAGTTGATTTATAAAAAGATCAACAATTTACATCAGAAATGTTTTCAATTCTGTAGGTAAGATTTTGCAACTGAATATATGAATAAAACCAAACCTCAAGTTCTAACCATAAAAGCAAGATTTTCATGTTTGTGTTGCAAAATTGTTCAGTGACATGCTACTTCACGATTGTACATAATTGTACAATCATTTTGATTTCGTCCCTCTCAGTAACTATAAACAAGTACTGATGTTATACACAATATGAGGTTATCACAAGAATCAGTGATCGCGCTAGGTTTCTACAAGTTGCGTATATCGAACGCATCAGTCACAAACAAATGCGTTTCCACAGATCATCAACGCGTACACCCACTTAACACACGACACATGTTTAATTTCAGTAGTTTTTATTAACAGCACGTTTTTTATACAATGTTGCAAACTAAGTATTTCAAGCCACAGTTAGTATTAAAGTGTGTTACCTTCACAATTTGCGACGATCTTTTTTCTGATGATAAAGTTCAAGTGCACGATCAAAATCAAAACGATCTGTTGGTGGTCCATGCATCGAAATCAGCATGAGATTTTCAACATTCACTTCCTTTAGACGAGATCGTCTAGCACATTTTATTCGATTTTGCGTGGAAAACCCACGCTCACGTGGTACGCTTGTTACTGGAATTACAAGTGAAATTGCTGCTAGTGAAGCATATGCTGGGTATATTTCACTGTAGTCTTTGATTAATAACCTGCAAGACTCATCAAAGTTTGGGTGACCATGTCCTCGTAATGTCAATTTCATTTGGCGGAAGTCACGGCGAAGTGTAGCGGCATCGATCAAACCATCCTCTGCATCGCCGGCAAAAAATCAGCAAGCACATTTAACGCTTCCATGTTCACCTATAAATCTGTCATCTCTTGGATACTTGCTTGCATTGAGCACTGTGTCCAGACTAGCTAACAGGAACAG